GATGGCTGTGCGACCTCCTTCCGCATGCTCTTGCCATACTCAATTTAACTGGAGGTATGGTTCTTTTTAGGGATGTTGATATTGTTCCCAACGACCACCCAGCGTGCAGAGCTAGGTTGTGTCTTTTGCGCCGTTTCGGGCGTTTTTTGTCATTTCACAAATAACAATCGGGGTCGATTCGTCGTTTGCAGGCTATGGGGGGAAAGGGGGGGGGGGCACCGGATGTTGGCGTTCGTTTAGGTCTCACAGTGCCATTTCCTGGTTGTTTTTGGGAGGGGGGATGCGCGAAGAGGGTTGGTAAAAAGCCGGATGGGAGAGCGACAAGTTGCAGGGGATGGGTGGGGCGTGGGGCACCGTATTTTGGGGGTTCGTACATTAGGTTTCGTGGGAAACGTGTGCAAGACTGTGGTATTTTCTCGAACGAACTGGTATTCTTTCTGTGACTGCATGTACACAGCAGTACTTGTTAAAAAATACACATGAATAAGGCGGCATGTTCTTCTTGTGCACGGCATCCGTATCCCTATCCTTCATGACCGACCCATCGCTTCCTTCCACAACGCCACAAACCTAACCCTAACCCTAAACCCAGCAGCCCCGAGGATAACGCCTTACACGTAAAACGAACACCCCTTCCTCCTCCTTTATTTTTGTGCCCATGCTATCCAAATTTGGTTTTATGTACGCATAGCCCTATATACATAGGGCGCACAGCACACTTGTACATGTCGAAACCTTCAGGGCGCTGCGCGGGTTTCGGGGGAGGGCAGTCGTGCTTGGGCTAGGATGCCCTATGCAGTGGAAACCGTGGGGGGAAAGCGTTCAAGGGGCACCCCGTGTGTGGACGGTGAGTGAGCACGGCTAGCCCGCGCGCGAGGAAAAATTGTTGCACGCGAGCACGGCTAGCCGTGCTCACCGTCCACTCACGGGGTGCCCTTGATGACTTTTCGCCCACGGCTTCCAACGGATACGAAGGCATACCTTTGGTACCCAAGCACGACTGCCCTCCCCCGAAACCCGCGCAGCGCGCTCAAGGTTTCGGCATGCACCCCGACGACGTTCTGAGGCGGAAAAACAAAAACCCAAGCACTACATACCGTGTGAGACCCAGGCATCCGCTTCACTCTTTGACTCTAACCATCCAACCCCCTGGGAAGTGATACTGCTGTACCTAAGAGTAAGAGAAGGGCCAGTCCCACACTGCTGTGCACTTCCCCCTTTCGCCATGCCTTGTGGACGGAGGCTGGAAATGAGTCAAATGGATCCATGCCAACGTTCCCAGGCACACAACCGGCCAACACCGACTCGTCCAGTCTCACGTAGGCAAAATTATTGGGGGGCCGCTGTTGGCGATGAAACCTCACCGTTCTACTGCCCCCCCCCCCCCCTCCACCAACTACCCCCCAAAAAACCATGTCCCTTGACCCCCCCCCACCT